GGTGCAAAATAGAGCTGCCAGGTTGCTGACGGGGACGGGGAGTTATGCTCACATGACTCCAGTCCTCCGTCAGCAACCTGGCAGCTCTATTTTGCACCAATTGAAGTGTTCAGACTGTCTTCAGGGGAAGCCCCACGTAAAGCACGTTACAGAAGTCTAGGCAGGAAGTCACCAGCGCGTGTGTCACCGTCGCCAGGCAGTCGTACTCCAGGTAGAGGCGCAGCTGATTAATTAGCTGAAGCTGAAGGAAGGCGTTCCTCGCCACCGCCTTTGTCACAGATGAGGTTTAAAGCCTCTCCTTGACAAGGTAAGGAGGTAAAGGGAGAAAGGAGCTACCCAGGTAACTGGACACCACCATTCCCACCAGCTTGCCCTCAATCAGCAAGAATTACCCAGGAGGGGAAGTCAGATGCTTTACTGAAAGGCAGGGGTGGAGGGAAGTTTCCCGGTGGAACTGAATTCTTGAAATGACAGGTGCTTCTCCCTCAATTTGGGAGAAGTGTAGTTTGTCCTACCCTGTAATCTGTCAAATTTCCAGAAAAGAATTGCACGTCAAAGGAGTGTCTTGTGTTTGACCACCAGAAGGAAGGTGAGCCAATTTTCCAGGTCTAGAAGGTCTCAGAGACTAAAGAAGAGATCCAAAGGCTCTGAGACCATGCCTGGGTGGACACAGGATTCTTCCTGGGCTTGAGAGAGCATTCCAGCCTCAGAGAAGGAAATCAGTCCTCCACCATCATTCTCCCTCTGCACAACAGCATATCTGCTGGAGCTTCAAATGTATTTACTTCATGCCTGCCTATCATGGAGATGTTCTTTACCTTGATTGTGTGGTGCATGGTAATGTATAACACTTCTGCCATACCCCTTAAGAATCCTAACCTAGAATTCACTCTGAAAACATCTCAGAATTATGACTGAAGGTTCAAACATGGTGCAGTTCCTGCTTCTCCCAGAGAGACCCCTTTCCTTCACTGCGTAGTGGAGGAGAGACTGGGACTTCAGAGGGCACAGAGAATATTTACCAGTGGCCATAGTTCACCCCCACCCTCTCTCTCTTCTTACATAAAATCTCCCACCATTCCTTTTGTTTCGTGGCCAGGAAGGAGTAGAATTTTTCTCCTGAAAGTTAAAGTGCTCAGCTAAGGCCACTGGGAAATTCTTCCCTGATCTGTAAAAGGGAATGGTCCATACTCAAGAGAAGGGGCAGTCCTTGAGAGCCAAGGGTGCCCTGCTCCCCCTCCACCCTCTAAGGCTCCACAAATTGGCCCTCGCCCTACAACGTTTGAGTTGGATTTACAGGACCCATCCACAAAGCCCCAGGTGTGGCATGCACACCTGTAAGCTGGGGGTGATGCTCCGTTCAGGTGCTGGAGAACTTGCTCCAGGCAGGTTTCAGAAATGAGAGCATCGCAGAGCTTTAAGCAGATATACTATATTTGGTGGGATTGTGAAGAAGGGCAAGCCACACAAGCCCTCCTGCATATCCCTAAACGGTTGGCCACTCACCTCAAATTCACCTCTGCTTCAGAGTCTCCACCATCCGCTGCCTCCCCCAACTTGGCTGCCTCTGTCTGGGGCCTGGGATCTCTTAAAGGAGCATGGCAGCTCTTCTGCAAGCGGAATGAACAAGTCAGCTCTTGCCTGCATGCTCAGAATGAGCCCTCGGGCCTCTGGACTGTGTCTCAGATCACTAGAGATGCTGAATTCTCATTTTCTGCCTTCAGATCATGCCTCTTCCACCCGAGATCAGTCACTTTGTGCTTACTGAGAGGCCTTGGGGTTCGCCCACCCATTTTTAATCAAAATTTGTGGTAAAACATAACACCTCCTTCAACCCCATTTGATCCTTTATGATGTATTCTGGATATGGCTTTCAAAGGGCACTTTATATTGTACTGGGCTTTCAATGGAAACCGGACAGGATGGAGAGGCATAACCTCCACATGATTCTTCCCTTCTGTTGTTTTCAGCCCAGCACTCCATTCTATCAGGTTCACCTTGAAACTTCTCTCAGTCTTCCAGAGTATTAGCTACCACACCACATTTTGTGTCATCTGCACATATGGCTATCGTTCTCAGCACTTCCTCAACTAAAAACATCAAAAGAAACATTGGAAAGCACTAGGTTTGGGACTGAACCCTGCAGGACCACCCTTCTTAACCCTTTCCAATTAGAAAAGGTGCCATGGATGAGCACTCTTTGCGTCCAACTCTGTAACTAATGGTAGATCCACCTGAGAGCTGTTCCATCCAGTCCACTTTTGCCTAATTTGTTAATCATGGGGCACTTTCTCAAAAGCTTGGTGAATCAAGATAGATTATGTCCACAGTCTTCCAACAGTTCATTAGGAAGGTCGCACTTTCAAACAAAGGGAATTGGATTAGCCTGGCAGGTTTTATTCTTGAGAAATCCATCTTGGTGTCTAGTCATCATGGTATTGCTTTCAAGGTATTTGCATGCTGGGGGCTTTATAATCTGCTCCAGAGGTTTTGCAGGGACTGATGTCAGACTGACCTATCTGCAGTTCCCAGACTCAAACATCACCTCTTGCACTGCAGCAAGACATGGGAATGTAGTGTCCATTCCTTTGACTGTATTGAGTCTGCTGTGCTTGGTTCCCCCACTCCCTAAACATTTCAGGTTGCTTAATAACCTTACTCTAACAGCCAATGCCTCCATTGGGGCATTCTCTTGCCCCACCCCAACCAAGAGTTGTGGGAATGCCAGGAGAGAGACAACAAGGCTCTGAGGCCTCTAACTGAGGATCCCATGCAGTCCAAGCTGGATTCCTAGGTGAGTGGGACATCATCTGGGTGGAGGGGAGGGAGCCTAATAATCCCTCTTAGGGATGAGCTGAAGTTCTTCCAGATGCCTTGCTCCAAAAGAAGAGTCCACAGATCCATACAGTCCAGTGAACCCACCCCCTGTAGGTTGAATGCCTTTGACGTGCTTCTGGAAAGCTTTCCTTGAATCCACTATGAAATTTTGGCAGCCCCTTAGAGCCAAGGAGAGAACCAGTGGACACATTCCCTGGCTGGATGTTAGGCTCTGTGGAATAGTTCTGAAGCTCCATTTCTAAGGACTCGGAGCAGGAGCCGGCCTATGATGCATTCATGATGCTTCTGTCCTAAGTTGAAGGACTGGAATCACCTGGGACAACCCAACAAAGGTTGTGCCAAACCCCCCTCTCTTTACATGCAGAGTTTCCTCCCAGTGACATCAGCAACATGTGTCATCCACAAGGGCATCCCATTCTCACCATCCTCAGCTCACTGGATAGTCTCACCTATGCAGAAAATGAATTGCAGGTCGATACTGGTGCTTTTAAGTCACTGAGGACGATCATCCTGGTTCGAGTGTATGCTTCAGCTCATGAAAATGTTTACTTTGTTTCCTTTCTGGGGAAATCCTTAACGAATTCTTAACGCTTTATGAAATTAACTCCACACCACCATTACTGAAGATGAAAACAGGACATAGTTTGGGAATGTCCTGTATTAACCCATCCTCTACTGTAGGTGCAGCTCACTCAGTCTGGATTTGGACACTAGAAGTGGGGTAGGGTGGCTTTGATGATCCATATTGTGTGCATGGCACCTACACTAGAGTCAGAACACTCACAAGCTGTAGCTGCTCTGCACAGCATTTAAGTCATGTGTGCAGCTGTCCTGGGATGGGTTGAAAGGGACTGGGTGGCAAGCCTGTGCCAGTGGTCAGCACCTGTTTGGTGGGGAAATAGATGGAATCTCCACTGCAGCTATGGAAAAGCCCTCTGGGGGTGTTGGCTGTGTCCTTGAAGGACCTCCTCGTACCCTCACAGGTGGCATGGT